GTATCATTGTGGACCGTACATGCAGCCCACAGTGTTATGTGGGCTGCAGGTTGAGACTCACCATACCCTTTCAACTACCCCATAGTCTTCTGTGCCCCCTCCTGCCTAAAGACCCCTTCACAGAGCAGGTCCAGAAGTGGAGTCCTGAGTGCAGGGCTGGGCAGCTGGGATCTAGATCCACTCTACTGGGCTGTACAGCCAGACCAGAGATCCTCCAGCACGGGACCAGACCCTGCCAGCTGAACCTTGCCATCAGAAGCTAGACTCAGACTGCAGCACCTGCCAGTTGACCCAATCTTGGTAAGCAGTTTTGGGCAGGGGGCAACAGACCTGGACCCCAGCATCTCCTGTTGTGTGGGGCCGAACAGCTGCAGTAGACTTTAACCTTGGTATCCAGGGTGCAGGACTGGGCAGCTGGGAGGTGAGTCCTGCAGTGTAGCTAGAACCCCCGCCACCAGGCCAGAAGTGGAATGTCAGGCATGTTCTGGCAGCCAGGACCCAAGGTGTTGGGGTAGGAGCAGAACCTCACCTAAAACCTGGGGGTTCTGCTCTCAGTGCTCCCCCAAACCTTCCCAGAACTCCCCCAAAGCTTGCCAAGATAGACGCCTGAGACCTCCCACACCACAGGGCAGAAAGTGCTAAGCCCCATTCCCTCACTACAGGGCTGAAGCAGTGAGCCACAGCAGGTGCCCCTGGTTCTTATCCTTTTGAAGATTATTGTATTTGGCTCAGAGGGTCACCTGAGAACTAGGCTACTGAGACCTCCCACACCACAGGGCAGAAAGTGCTAAGCCCCATTCCCTCACTACAGGGCTGAAGCAGTGAGCCACAGCAGGTGCCCCTGGTTCTTATCCTTTTGAAGATTATTGTATTTGGCTCAGAGGGTCACCTGAGAACTAGGCTATCTGTATGAAAAAAATAACTAGAAAAAGCAGAGGCATCTTTGCACCCACTCCACTGTTGGGCCCTTGTTTTGAAAAGAACCCAAGAATCGGTGTAATCGTCCCCCCCCCCCATCAGTAAAATTTAAATAAATCAAGATTATATTCTTAGGGTGAAATGCTTTTACAGTATCAGGATTCATCCTGATCCTGTTTCTGAAGAGCACAGAGTTCTGGCGTAATTGTAGACTGCCAGAGTTAGCTGTAAAAGGAACGCTACTGCATGCTCCCCTGCATAGATGCAAGGTATCATGCTTTTGGGAAGGGGAGGTAGATTAAAAACATGGGGAGCTGAAAAAAAAACACAGGAAAGTAATTCTTGAAAACCAACAGGAAACAGAAAAACATCTTGAGAACAAGCAGCTAATATTTAACTGAGTATAACCCCCTGTACATTAAATGAAACCATACCAAATTGTCAAGTAACACTTGATTAGTACTGAATACATGTCATGTGAAAAGGAGACAATATTTTACTAACTACATACCTTTCAATGCCTTGTGTATCAGAATATTGCAAAAGGTGAGGTTCCAAATAGTTCATGTCAGGTCTTGTGAGCTGTTAAAATAAATAAATAAAATAATAAAGAAAGAAAGATGTTTTTCTACTGTATGTCTTTTACATGTTTTCACCTGTGAGCTTGTGTTCCACTGAACCACATATCAATCTATGTAACTTCATAATACCATTGAGTAACAACGGGGAGATATCTTAATATTCAAAAGTTATGTCCATATTCCCAGTTCAAACTTCCATCCCTTTATTTGCAAGATGCACATCAACAATTTCTTCAGTTCAGTAAAACATTATTTATGGACTATTCTGTCCGGGTTAAATCCAACACAATGTCGAATGAAAATATATCGGTACTAATCTCAGATTTTATAACACCTTTTGGAGCTGTGTGCCTGGCTCCCCCACACCCTCTGGAGAGGCAACACCCACCTACTGCCTGCCATCCCCCTGGAGAAGCGGGTCGCAATAGCCCTCTGGAACCTCGCACTCCCAGACAGCTACTCGT